CAATTGGTCCAGTTATCAACACTATTTTCAAGTTTCGAACAACTCGACTTTCAAGATCTACGTGTCTACACGAGCCGATGTTTCCAGTTATGAACGTTATATTTTAAGATCTGTGCAAGAACTCAGCTAACAGATGTTTCCGCATATAAAAGCTATCTTCAAGTTTTGTACACCAAAACAACTTTTCAAACTTTTTGTAATAGTAGAGACCACTTAGTGTTTCGCAGTTTTAGTAACACTAGAGTGTACTTAGTATTTCACACTTTTAGTAATACTAGAAAGTACCTAGTGTTTCGCAACATGTTTATTAATCTAAGAATACTTAATATTTTTTAGATTTAGGCCTAAAGAAACATCTTCTAAATTTGCTCTTTTGATAATACAGGAGAGATCTTTGTTTTGTATTTTTATAATATCGATGAACATCTGGTATTTTGTACTATTAGAAATATTAAAAGGTACTTCATATCTTGTACTTTTAGAAATATCAAAAGGTACTTCATATCTTGTACTATTAGAAATATTAAAAGGTACTTCATATCTTGCAGTTTTAGAAATATTAAAAGGTACTTCATATCTTGTACTATTAGAAATATTAAAAGGTACTTCATATCTTGTACTTTTAGAAATATTAAAAGGTATTTCATTTATTGTACTTTTAGTAATATTGCAGAATACTTTTTGCTTTATGCTTTAAAAAAATACTGGAATATACCAAATATTATGAAGTTTAATGTAAAATAGCACAAATATGATTGCCACATTTAGTAGCAGAATACTTTATTGATTTTAACATAGTTAAGTTTGCTAATTTCTTATTTTTAGAAACTAGTATTGCCCAGTCCTTCCCTTGTTGTAGACATGTTGGACGTCCTTGATGTTTCACAATTTTGGAATGCTGGATATTACTTAGTATTTCGTACTTTTAGTAACACAACATGTAATCAATATTTCGTATTTTAAACATACTCGAAATAACTTAATATTTTGTAGTTTTAAGTGACGGAACTTACCTTGTATTTCCTGTTTTGTTTTTATAATTTATAATTTTATAATGAAACGTTTTTGCATTGTATTGTAACACATATTTTTGTTTATATGTTTCGTGTCTCTCACTCAAAAAAATTTTCTTTCAGAAATGTGTGACAGCCTTAGGAGCATAACAGATTCTGACTCGATCAATCAGACCAGCTAATCTCGATAGCAGAAACGTCTTTTCACATTTAAATAACCTCTTGCTTTGAGAATTGTTCTTTATACAATCGTCTCATAATTAGTGCCTATTAAAGCTTATTGAAAATCCAAACCTGGTCATGGTTTTCCTAATTCAATGCTTTCATTGTTATTCTAACCATAGTACAACTTCTACTAAAAAAAAAAGAGTTTTAGTGTGCATATAACATCAGTATTTAATTACAAGACTAAGAAATTACTGATAAGATTTGATTTGAAGAGTGACATACAAAAGAGGTTGTTACATTAAAGTCTTATTTAGCTAGAATGTTTAAAGACACACGATATGGCAACCGTTCATTCCATTGTTTAAAAGTTTAGGAAACAATAGTGGTTAAATGTGGATTAAATTGTAAATCATTATAATCAGTTACTAAAGCTTTCGCTTTTAACCATTTAGTGGGTTGGTTTGGTTCTTCTCTCACACGAGGTTATCTAAGCTGTATGTTAAGCATAAAGCTACACAATGGACTATTCGTGCTTTGGTCACTGTTGTATGGAAACACGATTTTTGGTGTTAAGCTCTCAGACATACCCATGAGCCACCGAGTGAAGGTTATTTGAGCCCAGTATGTCACATTAAAATAATTGTTTTTTTTTATAGAAATGCTCGAATAATGTCTATGAAATCCAAATATGCGAAAAAGCTTCACTGTTTCTGATAATTGTAATAAATTTAAATCTAATTTTAAAAATGCAAGTTTTGCCAAAAATTCATTTTCTTATAACTTTATTAACTTAAAGTTACATTTTTGTAATATCCAGATATTGGGAACATTAGTCCTGTTGAAGCGTAAGCTAACAAGATTCGTTAGACTTAAACACTTTCCAGTTCCTGTTGAAGGGTAAAATTGTTTACAGTGTTCAGTTAAATATACTTAACAACGTCTTAGATAAATTATTTAGTATGTTATGCAACGTATAGAGAAATTCCACATCTAATTGTATCTTAGTTTTGTTTTTGAAACAATATTCGGAAAGCTTATAATTCCGTGTCAAAAACATTTGTATTAGATCTTCTGATTCCAAGATTTTTCCAACTGTGTATTGCGTTGAATAATTTTACAGACATTTGATTTTTGCTACTTACATATTCAGCAGGTTCTTCATAACTCAAACACCACCACTAATTCTGTGCATATTGTTTAAACATTTTTACTGTTTCCGAAAATATAGGTTTCTCCTCGACTGCTTTTATACTTATCGCACACGTTATCTGAAACAAGAGTTATGATCGTAAATTGAGATAATCTAAATATATCGTGAATTGCCGAAAAGTGTTTTAGATTTTCAAAAAAAAGATACGTTGTAATGTGTTCAGTCGTTGCGCGGTTTCTTTTGAATTATTTGGCAAAAATAATGTGAAGTCCAATCTATTTAAACGCTGACGAATTAATTAATTTCTTCTGTAACATTCTATACAGGTTTCAGGCTACGTTCACTGGTAGGCTTAATTTCACAAACAATGTTTCAGTAGAAATTTCGAAACTAATACACGCTTAACTTCCAAATAAAGCTCTAGTCGGGTACTTGAAAAATTTCATTGCTAATCATTCGATAACAAATACACCGACAGACTCATTGACTAACTTTATGATCACTGACTGAATCATTCATGAATAGTTTAACTCTCACTGTCTAACTAAAATGATTTAACCGACTCTGAATTGTTTGTTTGTAATTAAGCACAAAGCTACACAATGGGCTATCTGTGCTCTGCAAACGACAGGTATCGAAACCAGGATTCTAGCGTTGTAAGTCCGCAGACATGGCGCTGTGCCACTGGGGGGGGGGGGCAACTCTGAATTGATTATTTCTATCTAATTAGTGTTGTTTTTATTGCACACTATTTCATGAACGTTTGAGATGCCACAGATGGCTAAACTTTCACGAAACTTCTAGACTTGAAATAATTATCAAACTCTGTAAAAATCTCCCTCTAGTGAACAAGGCATTAAAATTCAAACTATACCCCATAATAGATGGTTTGACTTTTAAATTATACTTTTTTTTATTGAACTCGGATCAATATCACGTATATACAAACACCAAAATGCACTTAAAATTACATGAAACTCTTATAATTTGATATATTTATCTATATCTTATTTTCAATTATTAGAATACGGTTATTTTGTAATTTTGCGAGTATTTTTAACAATAATTGGATGTAAAGAACACGACATTTATTTTGTCATTACGAAGAACGCTGTTATAATTTGTTTAAAGACATCGTGTAGTCATTATCAACTAGTTTAATAACAATTACAGACAATTATTCATTTTAAATAAACCATTAACACTTATTACAGTTTTCTTTTTAAAAGTTGCATTTACATTATAATTCACAATTTTCATTCCTTATTCCTGGAAATTTTGAATTGTTTTACATTTTGTTTGTTTATTTGATTAGAATTTTGCGCAAAGCTACTCGAGGGCTATTTGTGCTAGCTGTACCTAATTTAGCAGTGATAGACCAGGAGGAAGGCAGCTAGTTAACACCACGAATCACCAACTCTTGGACTACTCTCTTAACAACGAATAGTAGGACTGACCGTCACACTATAACGCTCTCACGATTAAAAGAGTGAGCATGTACTGTAAGGGGGATTCGAACCCGTAGGTTGCGAGTAGAGCGCCTTGGCCACCAAGCCATTTTTTTTTTTTTTACTATATTTGGTGATTAATAAAAACACATATTTATATGTTTACAATATCCTTCCTTTGAAACCTTGCTTTGGGCATTCTTCAAAGCAGAAACGAGTTGTGTACAGTGACGGTTACGAACAAAGTTATGTTTATTCTATAGCAGAAGCTGGTTCCCGAACTTTCCCAGGCCTGGACTCCTTTCCAAAATCTTAGCTTGCTGCAGACTAACCTCATTTTATAATTCAAATCTACAAGACTTGTCTAGGTTTTTTTTAGCAGTATAATGCCTGACATATCGCGAACACAGTGATTTGGCTCGTGGAACACATGGATTCGTGTACTTTTTGTAGAACATGGTAATGTCAGCTTACTTTTAAGAGTAGATTATACAGCCGATTTTGAGGTTTGGTTCATTTTGAATTTCGTGCTAAGGAAAGCAGCTAGTTATCACCACCCACCGCCAACTCTTGGGGTACTATTTTATCAACGAATAGTAGGATTGACTGTCATATTATAATGCCCCCACGGCTAAAAAGGCAAACATGTTTGGTGGGACGGGGATTGGAACTCGCGACCCTCATATTGCGAGTTGAGCGCACTAACCACCTGGCCATGAGAGAAAGGTTTAACTGTTAGAGGTTCATATAGTGTCTGAGTATCTTTGTTTGTAAAGATAATTTGTACGTAGTCTTGACCTAGCACTTTGTTTTTTATCTTGTTAGTCGTTATTGTGATGTCCATAGTGTTAATTGGGATGTAATTGAACTATAATTATTAAATTTTGAAACCAGATGGCGACTAATAATGACGTATGCAAAATCTGCTATTTTAAAGTTGCAGCAGGTAAGCCTTTCAAGACCGAAAATACTGTTATTTCTTGTTTTATATGTCCATTAAAATATCATAATTTAATAAATCCACATTAAATGTGTAAATATAAAATACAAGGATTTTAATGTTATGTGGGAATTGAATAAATAGTGGAAATGTTCTAAGTGTAAAAATAACCGTCGTGTATCATTCCCAATATGGCGAATGACAAATTTAGTAACGTTGAAGACTTGGAAAAACTGAACTTTCAGGCTGAAGGAAAAGGTGAAGGTCAATTAAGTTATTTGATTAACAATGTGCGTACTTTTGTTAATCATAACACTAGTTGTCTAGCTTTTCTGGAAAACTTTGCCAGTAGAATAGTAAGTATATTGGAACTTCTAATGAAAGAAAACATCAATTGAAGAATGAGCTTAAGATATGTCGCAAAGAAATAAAGGAATGTAGGCAGGAACTATTGGCTCTTCATGGTCATAACGTAATAGTTTTGATACCAGAAAATAAGTGTAATTTGAAAGTTGATTCCATGAAGATTAACAGCTCCTGAATTTATGCTACATCAGACAGTTAATTCAATTAACAGATTGAATAATAAATCAAAATGGACTAATAAAGAAACTTTTGGAAATGGTGCTACCCGATTTGAGGACCCAATTCAACTTGTTTCTGACGCTGAAATTCCAGGTGAACCTGAGGTAGAATTTGTTCTGGTATAACGTAGGAAAAAACAAACACGAAAACGGACTACTGTCACTCGAAATGTTAAAAAAAGACAAGATGGTTCATTGAAATCGAGTTATGGTGATAGTATTGGGCGATGAGCACTAGATACTACGGAGATAGATATTGAGTCATTTTTGGAAAGAAACGGTTTCAAAGTTAAAAAATATGAGCAGGTCACCAACTTCATCTCGTGTTGAATTTGACTGGTCTTCGGAACTAGCAGTAAATTTTATTCGCCTGATGGTTGAATTTAATATTTTTCACCCCAAAATTAATCTAACTCAAGGTATAGAGGAGTCTATTAGTAAGATTAACAATGAAAACAAACTTAATTTAATACGTTTAAACTTTAGTAGTATTAAGCATAAGATAGATGATGTGATAAGTAATTTTTTATTGAGAATTTAAACCTGATATATTAATATATCTTGAATGACGATGTTTGTCAAGAAAAGCCTCCTCCACTTTATTAAATCATAATATAGATTTCTTTGTCAGACTCTCTGGGCATGGTGGTGGAATTGTTATGTATACATGTTCTGGCCTAAAATATAAATGTAATTAAAATTCTGGTTTGTGACCAATTCTATTGAATTATATAGTTTTTGGTATTGAATAATTTCATACTTTTTATTGTATTTATCGCTTCCCTAGGTATTCTTCGTGTCCGGGTTCGTTCCCCGGCAGGGATGCCACCACCACTGCCTGGTCCCAAGTCCAGGATGAGAAAGGGTTGGGCGCGGGGCTAGCAACTCCGCCCCGTAAAAACAAAACTGCTACGGAAACTGCACCAACACTTCCGCCGGCGAAGTGTTGTTGTAGCCCTATGTTCCACTAGGAACGACAGGAACTGAGAGAGAGGTAT